CTCATCTGCCAAAATCACTCTTATCTTATCAAGTACTAGCCACGCCCACCCACCCTCTCTTACCTTAGAGAGTATCTCATTTGCCAAAATCACTCTTATCTTAGCCAGTACTAGCTCTACCCACCTGTGTTTTTCTCATTCTAACGATTTTATTTCTGTTGAGTATGAGATCCACCTGTCATTATGGCTAGATCAAATGAATCTCTGAAATGAAGGCGGGGTCGGTGGGCGGGGCTAATTATTTGCTTTTTGTAGAGTGGCAATGGGAACTAATAGAACGTAAGCTGCTAAAAAAATGGAAAAAAGTGCTAATAGTATTTTTTTTTTGTTATATTATTTGCCACAAGATTTATTTTTTATTTCAGAAGAAAAAAAAAGAGAAAACGGGTGGGTGGGTGGGGCTAAATTTAACTTTTGTTTACAGAATTTTTCATTACCCCCTCTTCATTCCAGTGATTATTCTTAATATTGTTCAGTCATTTACCAAAATCAGTCTTATCTTAACAAATACTAGCCCCGCCCACCCAACCTCTCTTTTCTTAGAGGGTACCTCATTTTCCAAAATCACTCTTATCTAGTCAAGATTATATACTATTTGCTACAAGATTTATTTTTTATTTCAAAAGAAAATAATAAAAAAACGGGTAGGTGGGTGGGGCTGAGTTTATCTTTTAATATTGTTCACAGTCATTTACGAAAACCAGTCTTATCTTAACAAATTAGCCCCGCCTACCTTCCCTCTCTTTTTTAGAGGGTATCTCATTTGCCAAAATCACTTTTACCTTAGCAAGTACTAGCCCCGCCCACCCGCCCTCTCTTATCTTGGAAGGTTTCTCATTTGCCAAAATCACTCTTATCTTAGCAGGTATTAGCTCCGCCTAGCCGCGGTGTTCTCATTCTAACGGTCGTATTTCTGTTCACTATAAGATCCACCTTTAATTCAGATCAGATAAAATAAATGACTGAAATGGAGACGGGGTGGGTGGGCGGGTTTAATTATATTATCTGTAGCCCTATTAGCAGACACTAGCCCCGCCCACCCACCCCCTCTCGATTCAAGTGGCTACTCTTTATACTTTTCAGTCTTATCGTAGCAAATACTAGCCCCGCCCACTCACCCTCTCGTTCCTTGCAGGATATGTCATTTGCCAAAATCACTCTTATCTTATCAAGTACTAGCCCCTCCCACCCGCCCTCTTTTCTTAGAAAATATGTCATCTGCCAAAATCACTCTTATCTTAGCAGGTACTAGCCCCGCCCACCTGCGTGTTTTTGTCATTCTAACGATTTTATTTCTGTTGAGTATGCGATCCACGTGTCATTATGGCTATATCAAATGAATCGCCGAAATGAGGGCGGTATGGGTGGGCGGGGCTAATTATATTCTTTTTGTAGAGTGGCAATGGGAACTAATAGATCGTAGGCTGCTAAAAAAAAAGAAAAAAAAAAGCGCTAATCGTATTTTTTATTTGTTATACTATTTGCTACAAGATTTATTTTTAATTTCAAAAGGAAAACAAATGAGAGTACGGGTGGGTGGGTGGGGCTAAGTTTAACTTTTGTTTACAGAGTTTTTCATAAGCAAGCAATATCTCCGTCCATCCACCCCCTCATCATTCCAGTGATTACTCTTAATATTGTTCAGTCATTTACCAATATCAGTCTTATCTTAACAAATACTAGCCCCGCCCACCCACCATCTCCTTTCTTAGAGAATACCTCATTTGCCAAAATCACTCTTACCTTAGCCAGTACTAGCCCCACCCACCCGCCCTCTCTTTTCTTAGAAGATATGTCATCTGCCAAAATCACTCTTATCTTAGCAAGTACTAACTTCGCCCACCTGTGTTTTTCTCATTCTAACGATTTTATTTCTGTTGAGTATGAGATCCACCTGTCATTATGGCTAGATCAAATGAATCTCTGAAATGAAGGCGGGGTGGGTGGGCGGGGCTAATTATTTGTTTTTGTAGAATGGCAATGGGAACTAATAGAACATGGGGTGCCAAAAAAAAAAAGAAAAGAAAAACGCCAATAGGGTTTTTTGTTATACTATTTGGTACAAGATTTATTTTCTATTTCAGAAGAAAAAAAGAAGAAAACAGGTGGGTGGGTGAGGCTAAGTTTGTCTTTTGTTTACAGAGTTTTTCATAAGCAAGCAATAGTTCCGTCCATCCACCCCCTCCTCATTCTAGTGATTACTCTTAATATTGTTCAGTCATTTACCAAAATCAGTCTTATCTTAACAAATACTAGCCCCGCCCACCCACCCTCTCTTTTCTTGGAAAGTACCTTATTTTCCAAAATCACTCTTATCTTATCAAGTACTAGCCCCGCCCGCCCATCCTCTCTTACCTTAGAGAGTATCTCATGTGCCAAAATCACTCTTATCTTAGCCAGTATTAGCTCCGCCCACCTGTGTTTTTCTTATTCTAACGATTTTATTTCTGTTGAGTATGAGATCCACCTGTCATGGCTGGATCAAATGAATCTCTGATTCTCGTATTTTGTTTTATTATACTATTTGCTACAAGATTTATTTTTTATTTCAGAAGAAAAAAAATAATTAAAAAACGGGTGGGTGGGTGGGGCTAAGTTTATCTTTTAATATTGTTCACAGTCATTTACGAAAACCAGTCAAATTAGCCCCGCCCATCTTCCCTCTCTTTTTTAGAGGGTATCTCATTTACCAAAATCACTTTTCTCTTAGCAAGTACTAGCCCCGCCCACCCGCTCTCTCGTTCCTTGCAGGATATGTCATTTGCCAAAATCAGTGTTTTCTTGGCAAGTACTAGCCCCGCCCACCCGCTCTCTTACTTCTTAGAGAGGATTTCATTTGCCAAAATCACTCTTATCTTAGCAGGTACTAGCCCCACCCACCCGCCCTCTCTTTTCTTGGAATTTATGTAATTTGCCACAGTCAGTATTATCTTAGCTAGTACTAGCTCCGCCCACCTGTTTTTCTCAACGATTTTATTTCTGTTGACTGTGAGATCAACCTGTCATTATGGCTAGATCAAGTGAATCACTGAAATGAAGGCGGGGTAGGTGGGCGTGGTTAATTATATGCTCTTTTGTAGAGGTAATGGGAACTAATAGAACGTAGGCTGCTAAAAAAAGAAAAATAAGTTTTAATCGTATTTTTTTTTTGTTATATTATTTGCTACAAGATTTATTTTTAATTTCAAAAGACAAAAAAATAGAAAACGGGTGGGTGGGTGGGGCTAAGTTTAACTTTTGTTCATAGAGTTTTTCATAAGCAAGCAATAGCTCCGTCCATCCACCCCCTCTTCATTTCAGTGATTACTCTTTATATTGGTCAGTTATTTACCAAAATCAGTCTTATCTTAACAAATACTAGCCCCGCCCACCCACCCTCTCTTTTCTTAGAGGGTATCTCATTTGCCAAAATCACTCATATCTTAGCAAGTACTAACCCCGCCCACCCACCCTCTCTTATCTTACGGAGTATCTCATTTGCCAAAATCACTCTTATCTTAGCAAGTACTAGCTCCGCCCACCTGCGTTTTTTCATTCTAACGATTTTATTTCTGTTGAGTATGAGATTTACCTGGCATTATGGCTAGATCAAATGAATCACTGAAATGAAGGCGGGGTGGGTGGGCGGGCTTAATTATATGCTTTTTGTAGAGTGGCAATGGGAATTAATAAAACGTTGGCTGCTAAAAAAAGGAAAAAACGCGTTTATCGTTTTTTTTTTTTTTTTTGTTATACTATTTACTACAAGATTTATTTTTTATTTCAGAAGAAAATAAAAAGAGAAAACGGGTGGGTGGGTGGGGCTAAGTTTATCTTTTGTTTATAGAGTCTTTCATAAGCAAGCAGTAGCTCCGTCCATCCACCCCCTCTTCATTCCAGTGATTACTCTTAATATTATTCAGTTATTTACCAAAATCAGTCTTATTTTAACAAATACTAGCCCCGCCCACCCACCCTCTCTTTTCTTAGAGGGTACCTCATTTGCCAAAATCACTCTTGTCTTATCAAGTACTAGCCCCGCCCACCCGCCCTCTCTTTTCTTAGAAGATATGTCATCTGCCAAAATCACTCTTATCTTAGCAGGTACTAGCCCCACCCACCTGTATTTTTCTCAGTCTAACGATTTTATTTCTCTTGAGTATAAGATCCACCTGTCATGGGTAGATCAAATGAATCACTGAAATGAAGGCGGGGTGGGTGGGCGGGACTAATTATATGCTGTTTTGTACAGTGGTAATGAGAACTAACTGAACGTGGGCTGCTAAAAAAAAAGAAAAAAAAGCGCCAATAGTTTTTTTTTGTTCTACTATTTGCTACAAGATTTATTTTTTATTTCAGAAGACAAAAAAAAAGAGAAAACGGGTGGGTGGGTGGGGCTAAGTTTAACTTTTGTTTGCAGTCTTCATTCCAGTGATTACTCTTAAAGAGTCGGTCGGGCAATTTGGTAATTTCATATTTTCTCGATATTCCATAACCCCTAGAGAAGGCCGTAGTAAGGGGGAGGCTAGGGTATGCTGAGCCTACCCTAGATCCAGACAAGTTATTATAATTAACCAAACGTGAATTAGAACATCGAAAATCAAAATAAAATGTAATGTTTTATTCAATAAGCGGAAGTCGGAGCAATAAAAAAGTCTGGACCGTCGGCACTGTGATCCGGTTATTGCAATTCGTAGAAAACATCTCTTAGTTTAGTTTCTGTTTCACTCTCACGTGTTATCGCTAATTGTGTTAAATTACGAGTACCATAAATGATTTTCAGTTCGGTCTTCAGTCGCACCTCTGTTATCAAATCTTTTAATTTTTCGAAAGAGCTGGATTTGACAAGCTAAACTTTATGGGCGAGGGAAGTTCTGTCGAAGTAATCTTCGCCCAAGAATATCGTAGTTTAGCGGGAAATTTTTCCACCATATGATTGAAAAAACTCTACTAGTAGGCTATGAATTTATTTTAAAAATAAATCTCATAACCTACAATGTTATATAATTGAAAAATTTCAGCGAACTTCGAGAGATTCTGGACGACATCTACAACGGCGCCCAGAAGCTCAAAGACGAAAAACTGAAACAGAAGAAAGACGTCAACGACAAAATCAACTACACGGAGGAGCAGCTAATCATAATAACCCAAGAAATGAAGCAGAAGATCCACAATATGGTCGAAGACGTCGAACAACGAGTATCAAAAGCTCTCAACGAAGAAATCCGCCGCCTGAGTACCTTAGTCGACGAATTCAACCTTCCGTTCCACCCAGAACCCCTAGTGCTAAACGTATACAAGAAAGAACTGCACTTACACGTCGAAACGGGCCTGGGTTCCAATCTGAAAGCCAGACTTTCAACCGCCTTAGCCATGAACATGGAAGCCAGCCAAAGAGAAATGACCGAACGAATGGAAAATCTGCTCCCGGAAAACCACCTAGCGAATTCGAACATTATCTTACCCAGGAGGCAACCCTTCGAGATTTTGTATAGGTTGAACTGCGACAATTTGTGTGCAGACTTCCATGAAGACCTGGAGTTTAGGTATTATTATCATTGTCATTAATTGGTGACTATGTAATGATATTGTAGGTTTTCGTGGGGGATCACCACGTTGATCCAGCGCTTCGCCGGCAGCGGCGCCAACTTCCTTGCCCTCAAAAACAAGCGCGAAAGTCCCCAGAACTCCGTCATACCTTCCACGCCCACCGACCAGTACGACGGGCGCGTGCTGTACGCGGGTCCCGCTCTGGAAGACTGGTCGCTGATTTCGCGCCTGGCCATCATGGGTGTGACGTCCCAAGGCACCATGGGTTGTCTCCTCGTCTCTGGGTTCCTCTTCAAGACGGTGGGTTGGCGCATCATCGCCGTGACCGGCGCCGTCTACGGGTGTCTCTACTTGTACGAGCGCCTCACGTGGACTAACAAAGCCAAGGAGAAGAGCTTCAAGAAGCAGTACGTTAACCACGCCACCAGGAAGCTGAAGATGATCGTGGATTTGACGTCGGCTAACTGCAGCCACCAGGTGCAGCAAGAGTTGAGCGGCACCTTTGCGAGGTTGTGTCACGTGGTGGACGAAGCCACCGGCGATATGGATAAACAATTCAAGGAGCTGGAGAAGGACGTGGCCACGCTGGAGAACGCAGCGAGTCGGGCCAAGGTCCTCAGAAACAAGGCGAACTATCTAGCACACGAGCTGGAGTTGTTCGAGGACGCGTATCTTAAAATCCACCACTAGGTGTGGTAAGTGGAAAAAGTTGCAATTTTTTTTAACGATGTTTAGTGACTTTGATATTGTGATAGATTTATTTATAATATTCGAGCAATTGTTTGATTTTAATTACGAGTTGGTGGTTTGAGGGGTTTGGTTCGAGCTCGATGTCGAGTTGAACGGAACCCCATGACCGGAAATAACGTTATTAATGTTTATTTAAATTATACACATTATATCAAAAATTTGTATGAATAAAATATGAGATTAAAATGTGAGATCTCTGGTTTATTTGTTACCGTTTTGTTTATGTGGAAGATCGTATTGCTATAGGACTTCGCCTTCTTAAACAAATAACTGTAGTCAAATTTTTGTTAGTGTACATAACTCTATTAATAAACGTTGTTGTTTTTATGGGTGGTTTTATTGTACAGCGTGATCAACTGTTTCAGTTGGTATCAATGAATTTTTCTCGAAATTGGTAGACCTGTCTGTCACTGAACCTCACTTTCTGTGGTCAAAACTGACAGAGTTGACAGTTATACATCTCCAAAATTTACAATAGTAAATAACTGTTATTTAAATTTTATAAAATAAGATTCCCCTGCACATGTGGTTTATGAACCGCTGCTGAATTTTTATCCTTGACATCCAGATTTTTGGAGAAAAAAAATCAAAATTACAACATTTTGCAGTTTAACTCTGAAATTGTGGAAACGTTGCCGTTGACGTATTTTCAACCAATCAAAGTGCAGTGGTGTGCAGTGCCGCCAACTTCAACGAAGGCTTATTACATTTTGCCTATTTGTTTTAATATGTCTAGACTTCTGCTCACAACAAGAAACTTAAAACATGTTTAAAATGGTAAATTTGTAGAGAAATATCGATTTTACAATTAAACTCCACCCCTCGGCTTACGACGAATAAAACAATCACCAGAACTGAGATAGGGCGGGTGGGCGGGGCTTATATTTTGCCTTTTTTTTTCTTAATATACATAGCCATCTTTTCACAACAAGAAACTTAAATCATGGTTTACACAGAAATATGGATTTTGCAATTATGGGGCGGAGCCTAATTGCAAAATCGATATTTCCTTATACTAATTTTCCTTTTAAACATGTTTTGAGTTTCTTGTTGTGAAAAGAAGGCTACACATTTTAAAACAAAAAGGCAAAATCTAAGCCCGCCCACCCGCCCTATTTCCATTGTTATGATTTTTTTTATTCGCCGTGAATCAAGAGGGCGAAGCTTAACTGCAAAATACTTTTTTTTACAAGAAATTAAAAACATGTTTTTGAGCGTCTTGTGCAAAGAATACTGAGCATATTAAGAAATGAAAAGGCAAAATATAAGCCCCGCCCACCCACCCCATCTCTATTGTGATGATTTTTTTTATTCGCCGTGAACCAAGAGGGCTGAGCTTAACTGCAAAATACTTATTTCTTTACAAGAAACGAAAAACAAAACTTGGTTTGAGTATTGTGTTATTCAAAGAATACTAAATATATTAAGAAAAAAAGCAAAATATAAAGACCGCCCATCCACATCATTTCAATTTTCATGATTTTTTTATTCTTAGAAACTTAAAGCACGTTCAAAATGGTAAATTTTTGTAGGGTAATATGGATTTTGCAATTAGGCCACGCCCCTAGGTCTGCCATCGAATGAAAACTTCATTACTACATATTTAAATCAAGGCAGGTATGGGTGGGGCTTGATCATTGGCTTTAATTTTTTCTTAATATACATTGTCTTGTTTGAACAACACGGTACTCAAAAACATGTTTTTAATTTGTCGCAGAGAAATAACGATTTTGCAGTTAAGCTCCGCCCTCTTTGCCCACTACGAATAAAAAAAATCATCACAATTGTGATAGGGTGGGTGGGCGGGGTTTATATTTTGCCTGTTTGTTTTAATATGTGTAGACTTCTTTTCTCGACAAGAAACTTAAAGCATGTTTAAAATGGCAAATTTGTATGGAGAAATATCGATTTTGCTCCGCCCCTCGGTTTGACAACGAATGAAAAATTCATTACGACTGAGAACGAGACGGATGGGTGGGGCTTCTCTTTTGTTTTCCTTTTAGTTTTTTTTGTAACACTATTACTTAAAAACATACTTCACATGATAATTTCTAGAAGAAAAATAAGGATTTTACAATTAAGCTCTGCCCCTCGGCTTACGACCAATAAAAAAATCGTCACAATTGAGACAGGGCGGGTGGGCGGGGCTTCTATTTTGCCTTTTATTTTGCTTAATATACATAGCCATCTTTTCACAACAAGAAACTTAAAGCATGGTTAAAATGGTACAGTTTTGCAAGGAAATATGGACTTTTTATACAAATTTTCCATTTTAATACATTTTCTTGTAGATTCCGGGCCGCAGAAGTCATATCCGTTTTCATTTCTTCGATAACTCCAATGATTTTTCCAGAATCGTCCTTTGAAGTATTCAAAAATATGCAAAATAACCCCAATTTCCCACCAATTTTCAACAAAATTTTCGAAATTTCACTTAATACATTTTCTTCTAGATTTCGGGCCGCAGAAGTCATATCCGTTTTCATTTCTTCGATAACTCCAGTGGTTTTCCCAGAATCGTCCTTTGAAATATTCAAAAATATGCAAAATAACCCCAATTTCCCACCAATTTTCAACAAAATTTTCGAAATTTCACTTAATACATTTTCTTGTAGATTTCGAGCCGCAGAAGTCATACCCGTTTTCATTTCTTCGATAACTCCAATGGTTTTTCCAGAATCGTCCTTTGAAATACTCAAAAATATGCAAAATAACCCCAATTTCCCACCAATTTTCAACAAAATTTTCGAAATTTCACTTAATACATTTTCTTGTAGATTTCGGGCCGCACAAGTCATATCCGTTTTCATTTCTTCGATAACTCCAATGGTTTTCCCAGAATCGTCCTTTGAAATAATCAAAAATATGCAAATTAACCCCACTTTTCCCACCAATTTTCAACAAAATTTTCGAAATTTCACTTAATACATTTTCTTGTAGATTTCGGGCCGCAGAAGTCATATCCGTTTTCATTTCTTCGATAACTCAAATGGTTTTCCCAGAATCGTCCTTTGAAACATACAAAAAAATGCAAAATAACCCCAATTTCCCACCAATTTTCAACAAAATTTTCGAAATTTCACTTAATACATTTTCTTTTAGATTTCGGGCCGCAGAAGTCATATCCGTTTTCATTTCTTCGATAACTCAAATGGGTTTCCCAGAATCGCACTTTAAAGAATTCAAAAATATGCAAAATAACACCAATTTCCCACCAATTTTCAACAAAATTTTCAAAATTTCACTTAATACACTTTCTTGTAGATTTCGGGCCGCAGAAGTCATATCCGTTTTCATTTGTTCGATAACTCCAATGGTTTTCCCAGAATCGTCCTTTGAAATCTTCAAAAAAATGCAAAATAACCCCAATTTCCCACCAATTTTCAACAAAATTTTCGAAATTTCACTTAATACATTTTCTTGTAGATTTCGGGCCGCAGAAGTCATATCCGTTTTCATTTCTTCGATTACTCCAATGGTTTTCCCAGAATCGTCCTTTCAAAAATTCAAAAATATGCAAAATAACCCCAATTTCCCACCAATTTTCAACAAAATTTTCGAAATTTCACTTAATACATTTTCTTGTAGATTTCGGGCCGCAGAAGTCATATCCGTTTTCATTTCTTCGATAACTCCAATGGTTTTCCCAGAATCGCACTTTCAAAAATTCAAAAATATGCAAAATAACCCCAATTTCCCACCAATTTTCAACAAAATTTTCGAAATTTCACTTAATACATTTTCTTGTAGATTTCGGGTCGCAGAAGTCATATCCGTTTTCATTTCTTCGATAATTCAAATGGTTTTCCCAGAATCGCACTTTGAAAAATTCAGAAATATGCAAAATAACCCCAATTTCCCACCAATTTTCAATAAAATTTTCGAAATTTCACTTAATACATTTTCTTGTAGATTTCGGGCCGCAGAAATCATATCCGTTTTCATTTCTTCGATAACTCCAATGGTTTTCCCAGAATCGTCCTTTGAAATATACAAAAAAAAAAACGCAAAATAACCCTAATTTCCCACCAATTTTCAACAACATTTTCGAAATTTCACTTAATACATTTTCTTGTAGATTTCGGGCCGCAGAAGTCATATCCGTTTTCATTTCTTCGATAACTCCTATGGTTTTCCCAGAATCGTCCTTTGAGATATTCAAAAAAATGCAAAATAACCCCAATTTCCCACCATTTTTCAACAAAATTTTCGAAATTTCACTTAATACATTTTCTTGTGGATTTCGGGCCGCAGAATTCATATCCGTTTTCATTTCTTTGATAACTCCGATGGTTTTACCAGAATCGTCCTTTGAAATGTTCAAAAATAGGCAAAATAACCCCAATTTCCCACCAATTTTCAATAAAATTTTCGAAATTTCACTTAATACATTTTCTTGTAGATTTCGGGCCGCAGAAGTCATATCCGTTTTCATTTCTTCGATAACTCCAATGGTTTTCCCAAAATCGTCCTTTGAATTATTTAAAAATATGCAAAATAACCCCATTTCCCACCAATTTTCTACAAAATTTTCGAAATTTCACTTAATACATTTTCTTGTAGATTTCGGGCGGCAGAAGTCATATCCGTTTTCATTTCTTCGATAACTCCAATGGTTTTCCCAGAATCGGTCTTTGAAAAATTCAAAAATATGCAAAATAACCCCAATTTCCCACCAATTTTCAACAAAATTTTCGAAATTTCACTTAATACATTTTCTTGTAGATTTCGGGCCGCAGAAGTCATATCTGTTTTCATGTCTTCGATAACTCAAATGGTTTTCTCAGAATCGCGCTTTGAAAAATTTAAAAATATGCAAAATAACCCCAATTTCCCACCAATTTTCAACAAAATTTTCGAAATTTCACTTAATACATTTTCTTGTAGATTTCGGTCCGCAGAAGTCATATCCGTTTTCATTTCTTCGATAACTCAACTGGTTTTCCCAGAATCGTCGTTTGAAATATTAAAAAATATGCAAAATAACCCCAATTTCCCACCAATTTTCAACAAAATTTTCGAAATTTCACTTAATACATTTTCTTGTAGATTTCGGGCCGCAGAAGTCATATCCGTTTTCATTTCTTCGATAACTCCAATGGTTTTTCCAGAATCGTCCCCTGAAATAATCAAAAATATGCAAACTAACCCCAATTTCTCACCAATTTTCATCAAAATTTTCGAAATTTCACTCAATACATTTGCTTGTAGATTTCGGGCCGCAGAAGTCATGTCCGTTTTCATTTCTTCGATAACTCCAATGGTTTTCCCAGAATCGTCCTTTGAAATATTCAAAAATATACAAAATAACCCCAATTTCCAACCAATTTTCAACAAAATTTTCGAAATGTCACTCAATACATTTTCTTCTAGATTTCGGGCCGCAGAAGTCATATCCGTTTTCATTTCTTCGATAACTCCAATGGTTTTCCCAGAATCGCACTTTGAATAATTCAAAAATATGCAAAATAACCCCAATTTCCCACCAATTTTCCACAAAATTTTCGAAATTTCACTGAAACATGTTTTAAGTTTCATGTTATGAAAAGAAGTCTACACATATATTAAAACAATAAGGCAAAATGTAAGCCCGCCCACCCGCCCTGTCTTAATTGTGATGATTTTTTTAATTCAGTGTGAATCAAGAGGGCGGAGCTTACCTGCAAAATACTTATTTCTATACACGAAACAAAAAACAAAATTTGGTTTGAGTATTGTGTTATTCAAAGAATACTACATATATTAAGAAAAAAAGCAAAATATGAATAAAATGAAAAAATTTGCAGTTAAGCTCCGCCCTCCCGACGCACGATGAATAGAAAAATTCATCACAATTGAGATAGGGCGGGTGGGCGGGGCTACATTTTGGTAGCCAACTGTAAATTCTCGGCAGCCCCCATGTCCTCAATCCGCCACTGGTCAAAATTTGTTATTAATAAATTGTGATAGCCAAACTTTTGTGGGCGTTTAAAATTAAACAAATAAATCACGTAGAAAGATATAATTATATTATGACTACATTTATAACAAAAAAAAAGTGATAATCCTGTACTTATCCTCACACCGCGACAAAATGATTTTCATCCAAGTGCCTTTTAAAATTATCGAGCCCCTCCAAAATGACGACCCAAATGTGCTCTGGCAGATTTTCCGGATAATTCCCCTCTGCACGCAAAGGAACAATATTAAGTGGGCGTTGATAAAAACATATTTCAGATTCACAGATTAAACAGTAAAACTCCAGTTGTAGTGGTTCTTCCGGATGTTTTCCTACAAAATTGTGAAATATAAATGCCATCTGACTTATCACCCTTACCAAGTATAATGCGAACTCGACAAATGTAGCCATGTGATTCGCACAACAAATCCAAACTGTTGAAAAATTGCTGATCATATCGGAGTACTTTATCTGAATACACAATACACAAATGCGTCACCAAGGATTTTTTATCTGCGTAACACGCAACGGCGTCTTCTATGGTTTTTCTCAATATTTCCTCCACTTCGTTGATGTAGTCTCGCATGGGACGAGGTATAGAGTAGGCGCATATTTTCGGAAGCTTGTTCATCTCTTTCAACACGTAATTCAGACGAGGGGTCATACTAACTCTGGTACTAACACTCGCGTTCTCATGCGTATACAAAATAGTTAGGTAGTACGCATCGAAAGACCCTGGATTAATCAGATCATTGTTGTGTCCGTTTTCCCTAAAAACGCAACATTATTCCAAGAAATGGACTTACACTCAGATTACATTTTTTGCGGATAAGGTGGCAACCCTGTAGTTTCCAGTACAATTTGAAGTCGCAAGTGCACGTCTGCGTAAAGCTCAGCGTAGTCTACTTTACACGCAGCAACTTCTACGTTTCGTTTTCCAACTATGGCACACGCATCTTTGGTCCAATCGTTTAGGAGGTAGTCTGTTGTGTTTTGGAGTAACTTAAACTGCAAACATACGCTGCGCAGATCTGCCACACAAACCCTTCTATACAAATCGTGGAACTCTATTAACAACGTGAGCAAAGAAAATGCGTTGTTCACATCCCACTGATCCCGAGAAGGTACATAACGCGTTAAAAATTCTTCCTTAGTGGTGTAGAATTGGAAAAAATCGTTATGGAAAATGAAGTCCGGGACGTCATTTAGACGCAGGGGGTCGAAAATTACATCCCAGTGTAGATAGAATGTACAATATCGCACTTTCAGTGAATAGTAGAAGCAGTACTTGTCTTGTCTGAATATTGGTTTGTACTCTATGTTCTCAAAGGAAAACGGACTGATTCCTGGAAACTTACGTTGTTGCGTTAGTTTTATTTATTTTTGGACCTACCGATGTAGTTGGTACATAGAATTCTGAAATTGTCTCGTAAGGGTGGTGGGACTTTGAATAGTATCTCGTTGTACTGATCCTGCAGCACGTCACGTTTACAGTCATTTTGAACACCCGTAATTTCACTTTGTGTTGGAAACATTTGGAGGAACTGTCGAGTTTGTAGCGCGTTTTTGTCTCGTTTTTGCGATGTGGTTCGTCGTTATCGTCTTTTTATTAGCGCAGACGCTTGTTGGACTAAATTATTTTGGCCGTTTTAACCTCAAATACGTGACTAGTGAGTAGATGTTAAAAAGAAAGGCAACCTCATAGAATACCCTCCCTTATGGACACGTGCGGGGCGAATGCTCCGTCTTACCCCTCACTTCAGTTCATCCGCAAACGTAATAGGGGATGGTGGCTCTCCCTCCTTTTTTCTTGTGAACTACGATAACAGTAGTCTGGACGAACACCAAATCATCAGTGAAAGTTTTTTCGATTTTTTATTTTTTGATTTTTTGATGTTTGGATTTCCCGAGTTTTCAATTTTGCGATATTGTAATTGTTCAATGTTTTAAATTTTAGATTTTTCGATTTACAGTATTTCTCAATTTTTCCATTTTTTTTTATTTTTCAGTTTTTAATATTTCTTTCAGTTTTGGGATTTTTTGATTTTCTGATGTTTGGATTTCTCGAGTTTCCAATTTTGCGATATTGTAATTGTTCAATGTTTTAAATTTTAGATTTTTCGATTTTTTTATTTTTCAGCTCTTCAGTACATATTTCTATTTCTGAATTTTCCATTTTTTTTTATTTCTCAGTTTTTAATATTTCTTTCAGTTTTGGGATTTTTCAATATTTCGTTTCTTCGAATTTTCGATTTTTTGACTTCTGAATTTTTCGATTTTTTATTTTTTGATTTTTTGATGTTTGGATTTCTCGAGTTTTCAATTTTGCGATATTGTAATTGTTCAATGTTTTAACTTTTAGATTTTTAGATTTTTTTATTTTTCAGTTCTTTAGTACATATTTCTATTTCTCAATTTTCCAATTTTTTAATTTCTCAATTTTTAATATTTCTTTCAGTTTTGGGATTTTTCAATATTTCTTTTCTTCGAATTTTCAATTTTTCGACTTCTGAATTTTTCGATTTTTTATTTTTTGATGTTTGGATTTCTCGAGTTTTCAATTTTGCGATATTGTAATTGTTCAATGTTTTAAATTTTAGATTTTTCGATTTTTTATTTTTCAGTTCTTCAGTACATATTTCTATTTCTCAATTTTCCAAATTTTTAATTTCTTTCAGATTTGGGATTTTTCAATACTTCGTTTCTTCGAATTTTCGATTTTTCGACTTCTGAATTTTTAGATTTTTTATTTTTTGATTTTTTGATATTTGGATTTCTCGAGTTTTCAATTTTGCGGTATTGTAATTGTTCAATGTTTTAAATTTTTGATTTTTCGATTTTTTATTTTTCAGTTCTTCAGTACATATTTCTATTTCTCAATTTTCCAATTTTTTAATTTCTCAATTTTTAATATTTCTTTCAGTTTTAGGATTTTTCAATATTTCGTTTCTTCAAATTTTCGATTTTTCGACTTAATTTTTCGATTTTTTATTTTTTGATTTTTTGATGTTTGGATTTCTCGACTTTTCAATTTTGCGATATTGTAATTGTTCAATGTTTTAAATTTTAGATTTTTAGATTTTTTTTATTTTTCAGTTCTTTAGTACATATTTCTATTTCTCAATTTTCCAATGTTTTAAATTTTAGATTTTTCAATTTTTTTACTTTTCAGTTCTTCAGTACATATTTCTATTTCTCAATTTTCCAATTTTTTAATTTCTCAATTTTTAATATTTCTTTCAGTTTTGGGATTTTTCAATATTTCGTTTCTTCGAATTTTCGATTTTTCGACTCTTGAATTTTTCTTCTATATTTTAATTTTCTTAATTTCCCAATTTTGAAATTTTCGATGTTTCAATTTTTGAGATCTCAATTCATCAATTTTTCCATTTTTAACTTTTCGATTTTTCGATTTTGGCCTATTTGGATTTCTCAATTTTTCGACTTTTCGACTCCTCGATTTCTCGATGTCTCAGTTTTTGAATTTTTCGATGTTGCGATTTTTATATTATTCGATTTTTCAATTTTCCAATTTTTTTTTTTTGATTTTTAGATTTTTCCATTTTTCAATTTTACGATATTTTAATTTTTCAATGTTTTAAATTTTAGATTTTTCAGTTTTTCGACTGTTTTATATTTCGATTTCTCAATTTTTCAACTTCTCGATATTGTAATTTTTCATTTTTAAAATTCTAGATTTTTCGATTTCTCGAGTTCTCAGTTCTTCTACATTTTAATTTTTTTATTTTCCCAATTTTTAAATTTTCGATTTTTCAATTTTTGAGATCTCGATTTATCCATTTTTAACTTTTCGATTTTAGGCTATTTCGGTTTCTCAATTTTTCGATTTTTCGGCTTGTCGACTTTTCGATTTCTCGATGTCTCAGTTTTTGAATTTTTCGAGTTTCGATTTCTCGATTTGATTTTTTAGTTTTTCGATTTTTATATTTTAGATTATTCAATTTTTATTTTTTTGATTTTTAGATTTCCCCATTTTTTTAAATTTTAGATTTTTCGATTTTTCAATTCTTCAATATTTTTTAATTTTTCAAATTTTGACGTTTCAGAATTTTCAGATTTCCGATTTCTCAATTAATCTACATTTTGATTTCCCAAAGTTTCGATCTTTCAATTCTTCAATTTTTCGATTTTTCAGATTTTTGATTTCTCAATTTTTCAATTCTTTAACTTCCTAATTTTTGAATATTTCGTTCAATTTTCTGATTTATCAGTTTTTCAACTTTTAGTATTTCGACTTTTCGATTTTTCTAATTCTGGATATTTATGATTTCTCGACTTTTTACTGTCTGGATTTTCAATTTTTCGTCTTTAAACTTTCGATTTTTCAATTTTTCGACTGTTTTATACTTTGATTTCTTAATTTTTCAACTTTTCGATTTTCTAACTTTTCAGTTTTTGAAATTTTAGGTTTTCCGATTTCTCGACTTTTCAGTTCTTCTATCTCAATTTTTCAATTTTCGGAATTTTTAAATTTTTGATTATCCATTTTTTTTTATTTTTCGATTTTCCATTTTTTTTAAATTTCTCGATTCTCCAATTTTTCGATGTTTCGGTTTTTCATTTATCCAATTATTCAATTTCTCGTCGAAGTCGAAACTCTAGAATTTAAAATATTGAAAAATCGAAAAGTTGAAAAATTGAGAAACCGAAATATAAAACAATCGAAACATTGAAAAATCTAAAGATTGAAAAACGAAAAATTAAAAATCCTAAAACTGAAAGAAAATTCCAAAAATTGAGAAATTAAAAAACTGGAAAATTCAGAAATCGAAAAACCCAAGAAGCACACTCGAAAAATCGGAGAATTCAAGAACTGAAAAATCGAAACTTGGAGAAGTCGAGAAATAGGAAAATCAAAAATTGATTAATTGAGGAATCAGAAAGCTGAAAATTTAGCAACGTCAAAATACGAAAAACTGAAAAATAAAAATACTGAACAACTGAAAAATCAACAAATCGAAAAATCTTAAATTAAAACATCGAATAATTAAAATATCACAAAATTAAAAAATCGAGAAATCCAAACATCAAAAAATAAAAACTTAGTTTTCTTTGTATAACACGATATTTACCATTTTAGACATGTTTTAAGTTTTTTGTTGTCGAAATAAGTCTACAAATCTTAAGAAAAACAGGCAAAATATAAGCCCCACCCACCCGCCCTATCTCAATTGTGGTGATTTTTTTATTCGTCATGGGCAAAGAGGGCGGAGCTTATCCGCAAAATCCTCATTTCTCTGCGAGAAATTAAAAACATGTTTTTGAGTATCGTGTTGTTCAAAACATGCTGTGTATATTAAGAAAAATTAAAACCAAAGATTAAGCCCCACCCATACCTGCCCTGGTCTAAATATGTAGTAATCAAGTTTTCATTCGTTGCCAGACCGAGGGGCGGAGTCTAATTGCAAAATCCATATTTCCCCACAAAAATTTACCATTATAAACGTGTTTTAAGTTTCTAAGAATAAAAAGAAAATCACCACAATTGAGATAGGGCGGGTGGGCGGGGTTTATATTTTGTCTTTTTTTCATAAAATTCATAGTATTCTTTGAACAACACGATACTCAAAAACATGTTTTTCATTTCTTGTAAAGAAATAAGTATTTTGCAGTTAAACTCCGCCCCCTGAGATAGGGTGGGTGGGCGGGGTTACAATTTTTCTTTTTGTTTTAACATCTTTGAAGTGGAAAATTTATATAAGGAAATTTCGATTTTGCAATTTTGCATAACTGGAAAATCCATATTTCCTTGCAAAAAAGTACCATTTAAACCATGTTTTAAGTTTCTTGTTGTGAAAAGATGGTTATTTATGTTAAGCAAAATAAATGGCAAAATATTTTTGATTTTCCTATTTCTCGACTTCTCCAAGTTTCGATTTTTCAGTTCTTCAGTTCTTCGATTTTTCGAGTTTGCTTTTTGGGTTTTTCGATTTCTGAATTTTCCAGTTTTTTAATTTCTCAATTTTTGGATATTTCTTTCAGTTTTGGGATTTTTCAATGTTTCGTTGCTTCGACTTCTCGATCTTTCGACTTCTGGATTTTTCGATTTTTTATTTTTTGGAATTTTAGCTTTTCGTTTTTCATTCTTTATATTTTTCAATGTTTCGACTGTTTTATATTTCGGTTTCTCAATTTTTCAATATTTTAAATTCTGGAGTTTCGACTTCGACGAGAAATTGAGTAATTGGATAAATGAAAAATCGAAACATCGAAAAATTGGAAAATCAAGAAATTAAAAAAAAATGGAAAATCGAAAAATAAAAAAAATTGATAATCAAAAATTTTAAAATTCCGAAAATTGAAAAATTGAGATAGAAGAACTGAAAAGTCGAGAAATCGAAAAACCTAAAACCTTGAAAACTGAAAAGTTAGAATCGTTTAGGAGGTAGTCTGTTGTGTTTTGGAGTAACTTAAACTGCAAACATACGCTGCGCAGATCTGCCACACAAACCCTTCTATACAAATCATGGAACTCTATTAACAACGTGAGCAAAGAAAATGCGTTGTTCACATCCCACTGATCCCGAGAAGGTACATAACGCGTTAAAAATTCTTCCTTAGTGGTGTAGAATTGGAAAAAATCGTTATGGAAAATGAAGTCCGGGACGTCATTTAGACGCAGGGGGTCGAAAATTACATCCCAGTGTAGATAGAATGTACAATATCGCACTTTCAGTGAATAGTAGAAGCAGTACTTGTCTTGTCTGAATATTGGTTTGTACTCTATGTTCTCAAAGGAAAACGGACTGATTCCTGGAAACTTACGTTGTTGCGTTAGTTTTATTTATTTTTGGACCTACCGATGTAGTTGGTACACAGAATTCTGAAATTGTCTCGTAAGGGTGGTGGGACTTTGAATAGTATCTCGTTGTACTGATCCTGCAGCACGTCACGTTTGCAGTCATTTTGAACAAACGTAATTTCACTTTGTGTTGGAAACATTTGGAGGAACTGTCGACTTTGTAGCGCGTTTTTGTCTCGTTTTTGCGATGGGTTCATCGTTATCGTCTTTTTATTAGCGCAGACGCTTGTTGGACTAAATTATTTTGGCCGTTTTAAACTCAAATACGTGACTAGTGAGTAGATGTTAAAAAGAAAGGCAACCTCATAGAATACCCTCCCTTATGGACACGTGCGGGGCTAATGCTCCGTCTTACCCCTCACTTCAGTTCATCCGCAAACGCAATAGGGGATGGTGGCTCTCCCTCCTTTTTCCTTGTGAACTACGTTAACGGTAGTCTGGACGAACACCAAATCATCAGTGGACTGGTGAAAGTTTTTTCGATTTTTTATTTTTGATTTTTTGATGTTTGGATTTCCCGACTTTTCAGTTTTGCGATATTGTAATTGTTCAATGTTTTAAATTTTAGATTTTTCGATTTTTTTATTTTTCAGTTCTTCAGTACATATTTCTATTTCTCAATTTTCCAATTTTTTAATTTTTCAATTTTTAATATTTCTTTCAGTTTTGGGATTTTTCAATATTTCGTTTCTTCGAATTTTCGATTTTTCGACTACTGAATTTTTCGATTTTTTATTTTTTGATTTTTTGATGTTTGGGTTTCTCGAGTTTTCAATTTTGCGATATTGTAATTGTTCAGTGTTTTAAATTTTAGATTTTTCGATTTACAGTATTTCTCAATTTTTCCAATTTTTTTTATTTCTCAGTTTTTAATATTTCTTTCAGTTTTGGGATTTTTCAATATTTCGTTTCTTCGAATTTTCGATTTTTCGACTTCTGAATTTTTAGATTTTTTATTTTTTGATTCTTTGATGTTTGGATTTCTCGAGTTTTCAATTTTGCGATATTGTAATTGTTCAATGTTTTAAATTTTAGATTTTTCGATTTTTTTATTTTTCAGTTCTTCAGTACATATTTCTATTTCTCAATTTTTCCAATTTTTTTTTATTTCTCCATTTTTATTATGTCTTTCAGTTTTGGGAATTTTCAATATTTCGACTTTTTGACTTCCGAATTTTTTGATTTTTTATTTTTTCGACTTTGGATTTTTCAGTTTTTCGACTGTTTTATATTTCGATTTCTCAATTTTAAAACTTCTCGATATTGTAACTTATCATTTTTAAAATTCTAGATTTTTCGATTTCTCAACTTCTCAGTTGTTCTATATTTTAATTTTTTTATTTACCCAATTTTTAAATTTTCAATTTTTCAATTTTTGATATCTCGATTTATCAATTTATTCATTTTTAATTTTTCAATTTTTCGATTTTGGTCTATTTCGGTTTCTCAATTTTGTCGATTTTTCGATTTCTCGATGTCTCAGTTTTTTAATTTTTCGATGTTTCGATTTGTCGGTTTTTCAATTTTTTACTTTTCGACTTTTCGGTTTTTCTATCTTTCGATTTTTATATTATTCGATTTTTCAATTTCCCATTTTTTTTTTTAATTTTCAAGTTTCGATTTCTCGATTTGTTGATTTTAATTTTTGCGATTTTTATATTTTAGATTTTTCAATTTTAGGATATTTTAATTTTTCAATGTTTTATTTTTTTTTCCTATTTCTCGACTTCTCCAAGTTTCGATTTTTCAGTTCTTAAGTTCTTCGATTTTTCGAGTTTGCTTTTTGGGTTTTTCGATTTCTGAATTTTCCAGTTTTTTAATTTGTCAATTTTTGGATATTTCTTTCAGTTTTGGGATTTTTCAATATTTCGTTGCCTCGACTTCTGGATTTTTCGATTTTTTATTTTTTTTGATTTTTAGTTTTTCGTTTTTCATTCTTTAGATTTTTCAACTTTTCGAATTTTTAAATTTCCGATTTTTCAATATTTTAAATTCTGGAGTTTCGACTTCGACGAGAAACTGAATAATTGGATAAATGAAAAATCGAAACATCGAAAAATTGGAAAATAGAGAAATTAAAAAAAATGGAAAATCGAAAAATGAAAAAAAGGATAATCAAAAATTTAAAAACTCCGAAAATTGAAAAATTTAGATAGAACTGAAAAGTCGTGAAATCGAAAAACCTAAAATTTTAAAAACTGAAAAGTTAAAAAATCGAAAAATTAAGAAATCGAAGTATAAAACAGACGAAAAATTGAAAGTTTAAAAAACGAAAAATTGAAAATCCAAACAGTAAAAAGTCGAAAAACTGAAAAATCACAAAATTGAACGAAACATTCAAAAATTATGAAGTTAAAGAATTGAAAAATTTAGAAATCAAAAATCTGAAAAATCGAAAAATTGAAGAACTGAAAGATCGAAACTTTGGGAAATCAAAAAGTAGATTAACTGAGAAATCGGAAATCTGAAAATTCTGATATGTACGTCAAAATTTGAAAAATTAAAAAATATTGAAGAACTGAAAAATCTAAAAATCTAAAATTTAAAACATTTGTTTTTTGTTGTGAAATGGCTATGTATGTTAAGCAAAATCAACGGCAAAATATAAGCCCCGCCCACCCACCCTATCCCAATTGTAGTGATTTTTGTTATTCATCGTGGGAAAAGAGGGCGGAACTTAACTGCAAAATCCAAACATTAAGCCCCACACATACCTGCACTGATCTAAATATGTAGTAATCAAGTTTTCATTCGTTGCTAGACCTAGGGGCGGAGCCTAATTGCAAAATCTATATTTCCGCACACCATTTTAAACGTGTTTTAAGTTTCTAAGAATAAAAAATATCATCACAATTGAGATAGGGTGGGTGGGCGGGGTTACAATTTTTCTTTTTGTTTTGACATCTTTGAAGTGGAAAATTTATACAAGGAAATATCGATTTTGCAATTAGGTTCCTACCCATAATTGGAAAATCCATATTTCCTTGCAAAACAGTACCATTTAAACCATGTTGTAAGTTTCTTGTTGTGAAAAGATGGCTATGTATGTTACGCAAAATAAATGGCAAAATATTTTTGATTTTCCTATTTCTCGACTTCTCCAAGTTTCGATTTTTCAGTTCTTCAGTTCTTCGATTTTTCGAGTTTACTTTTTGGGTTTTTCGATTTCCGAATTTTCCAGTTTTTTAATTTCTCAATTTTTGGATATTTCTTTCAGTTTTGGGATTTTTCAATATTTCGTTGCTTCGACTTCTCGATCTTTCGACTTCTGGATTTTTCGATTTTTTATTTTTTGGAATTTTAGTTTTTCGTTTTTCATTCATTAGATTTTTCAATGTTTCGACTGTTTTATATTTCGGTTTCTCAATTTTTCAATATTTTAAATTCTGGAGTTTCGACTTCGGCGAGAAATTGAGTAATCGGATAAATGAAAAATCGAAACATCGAAAAATTGGAAAATCAATAAATTAAAATGGAAAATCGAAAAATAAAAAAAAATGGATAATCAAAAATTTTAAAATTCCGAAAATTGAAAAATTGAGATAGAAGATCTGAAAAGTCGAGAAATCGAAAAACCTAAAATTTTAAAAACTGAAAAGTTAGAAAATCTAAAAGTTGAAAAATTAAGAAATCAAAGTATAAAACAGTCGAAAAATTGAAAAATTGAAAGATTAAAAAACGAAAAATTGAAAATCCCAACAGTGAAAAGTCTAAAAACTGAAAAATCACAAAATTGAACGATATATTAAAAAATTATGAAGTTAAAGAATTGAAAAATTGAGAAATCAAAAATCTGAAAAATCGAAAAATTGAAGAACTGAGAGATCGAAACTTTGGGAAATCAAAAAGTAGATTAATTGAGAAATCGGAAATCTGAAAATTCTGATATGTACGTCAAAATTTGAAAAATTAAAAAATATTGAAGAACTGAAAAATCTAAAAATCTAAAATTTAAAACATTTGTTTCTTGTTGTGAAAAGATGGCTATCTATGTTAAGCGAAATCAACGGCAAAATATAAGCCCCGCCCACCCACCCTATCCCAATTGTAGTGATTTTTGTTATTCATCGTGGGAAAAGAGGGCGGAACTTAACTGCAAAATCCAAAGATTAAGCCCCACCCATACTTGCCCTGATCTAAATATGTAGTAATCAAGTTTTCATTCGTTGCTGGACCTAGGGGCGGAGCCTAATTGCAAAATCCATATTTCCCCACAAAAGTTTACCATTTTAAGCGTGTTTTAGGTTTCTAAGAATAAAAAAAATCATCACAATTGAGATAGGGTGGGTGGGCGGGGTTTATATTTTGCATTTTTCTCTTAATATTCATAGTATTCTTTGAACAACCCGATACTCAAAAACATGATTTTAATTTCTTGTAAAGAAATTAGTATTTTGCAGTTAAACTCCGCCCCCTTGGTTAACGGCGAATAAAAAATCGAAACATCGAAAAATTGGAAAATCAAGAAATTAAAAAAAAATGGAAAATCGAAAAATAAAAAAAAATGGATATCAAAAATTTTAAAATTCCGAAAATTGAAAAATTGAGATAGAAGAACTGAAAAGTCGAGAAATCGAAAAACCTAAAACCTTGAAAACTGAAAAGTTAGAATCGTTTAGGAGGTAGTCTGTTGTGTTTTGGAGTAACTTAAACTGCAAACATACGCTGCGCAGATCTGCCACACAATCCCTTCTATACAAATCGTGGAACTCTATTAACAACGTGAGCAAAGAAAATGGGTTGTTCACATCCCACTTATCCCGATTAGGTACATAACGCGTTAAAAATTCTTCCTTAGTGGTGTAGAATTGGAAAAAATCGTTATGGAAAATGAAGTCCGGGACGTCATTTAGACGCAGGGGGTCGAAAATTACATCCCAGTGTAGATAGAATGTACAATATCGCACTTTCAGTGAATAGTAGAAGCAGTACTTGTCTTGTCTGAATATTGGTTTGTACTCTATGTTCTCAAAGGAAAACGGACTGATTCCTGGAAACTTACGTTGTTGCGTTAGTTTTATTTATTTTTGGACCTACCGATGTAGTTGGTACATAGAATTCTGAAATTGTCTCGTAAGGGTGGTGGGACTTTGAATAGTATCTCGTTGTACTGATCCTGCAGTACGTCACGTTTGCAGTCATTTTGAACACCCGTAATTTCACTTTGTGTTGGAAACATTTGGAGGAACTGTCGAGTTTGTAGCGCGTTTTTGTCTCGTTTTTGCGATGTGGTTCGTCGTTATCGTCTTTTTATTAGCGCAGACGCTTGTTGGACTAAATTATTTTGGCTCAAATACGTGCACAGAACATAGTGAGTACAGATGTTACAAGAGAGGCAACCTCATAGAATACCCTCCCTTATGGACACGTGCAGGGCTAATGCTCCGTCTTACCCCTCACTTCACTTCATCCGCAAACGCAATAGGGGATGGTGGCTCTCCCTCCTTTTTTCTTGTGAACTACGTTAACAGTAGTCTGGACCAACACCAAATCATCAGTGGACTGGTGAAAGTTTTTTCGATTTTTTATTTTTTATTTTTTGATGTTTGGATTTCCC